ATATACTACCATTGAATTAACTACTTTTATGAATCCAGTGTCCATCTTGTTGTGTTAATGAGGTATGGCAACTTGAACCGATGCATATATGTGCCTGGTCCTACATTGTAACTGACTGCCTGACTGGGTGTGGTTAATAAACAATAATCTTTAACCACTATTATCATTTTCCAATATATCAATAAGTTGTAATACCCGATTTAAAGATGAAAAGAAATCGGAAATAATCTGTCATTGTTATATAAACATTCCAGCTTATCGTTTTACTTTATCCTTCGGCTAATAAAAAAAGAAGAAGGAAAATAATATTCATACTTTTACGGAACAAACGTGTTTGTTTTATATAAAAAAATTAATTAAGAAAAACTTAGAGGGGGGGGATGGTGGTGATGGAGGGGGGATATGGGAAGAAATGTAATAAAGAAACAGTTCATTTTTTCTTTCCAAACATTAGATGAGAAAACATTTTGAGCTTTACGATAGAGACTATTGTTATCATCTAGTAGAATGTATGGCGTCATGTTATATGATTCTCAGTAAATGGAATTACATTGGAACAATAGAAATAACTGTAATGTCTAAACGATTGTCAACCGGATGAAGTTTGACTTTACCAATACAGATTGTTGTTGTATACACATTGATTGTGTATGTTCATTGTTTTTGTTTTAAACTACTAGAGGGGAGATGAGTAGAGATTTAGAGAAAACAAAACAAAACAAGATATTACTATGGGATATATTTAGATGATGTTATACAGTGAATATTTAAATTTGTTCATGAAAATAAGAAGTTGATATGAATATTTTGTAAATATCAATGTGTTTTTTAAGTAGCTTTCAAAAATTTTGAAGCAACATCGCAAGGCGGGATCGTGGATGAGCACTGCTGAGGAGTCCCACAGTAGGACGAAACGGCCGTCAAGTGCTTCCAGGTTTTCAATGGTGGTCTAAATTCAATTGACTCATAATCTCAACTATAATATCCACAGAAACCCATTCTGATATTAATTTACATATACTCACCAGTGACAGGCTTTAAGAGGTATATCCTAGAGTTCTAGTGAGAAGCAGTGACCAGTGGAGTTCAATCGGGTCTGTTGTGAGATACTGACTCACTGAAGACAATGATGGATGTGTCACCCAATTTTGTGGATTAGTTGAAGTTAAACATTAACAGTGTTGTATGTCAATCGGCTAAGTGGTCTAATGGTTAAGAGCTCGAGCGCGAGACTGATAGGTCGTGAGTTCAAATCATATGAATCGGATCGTGGATGCGCGTTGCTGAGGAGAACCATACTAGGACGAAAAAGCCGTCCAGTGCTTCGAGGTTTTCCACAGTGGTCCAGCTTTAATTTACTCATGAATTCAACTATTAAAGAATACATATGAATCTTTCTAGTTACTTGTTTTAGCTACAATCAAATGTTTTTACAATAAAATGATATCAATTCAAAAATGAGTCGTATATCCTAACATCTCAAAAAACAGAAAATAATCATTAGTCAATCTAATTAATCGTTGAGAATCATAATCCTTTCATTGTTTGGCTAACTCCAGTAACCAACCAACTTGGATGATTGTGAAATTCGGAATTCGTAAGTCAATAATTGCAGGACAATGAAGGACCTAAGTATTAGAATAAATTCTTGTCTGCCATGTTAGAATTAATACGAATAATATTGTAGTGCATGCTACTCAAAAGATTGTATATAAATAATTTGCAACGGAGTGTGACGTCTATGTTGTTATAATTGTCAAATGTAGTACAGCTTTGGAAGAATATTTAGAGACCAGATGAGAATACAGTTCATATGACAGAACACACTGAAAGCTGCTAATTGAAGATTGAAAGTTATGTATAATATATTATATAAGTTCTTTGTAACGTCTTACAATAAATACATTCTTTCTGTCTGTTGTCGTGTTTTGCAACATGAATATAAGGTACAAGATGTGAGTTATATGTAGGGAGATTCGAACACATCACTTCTACTTGAAGTTTGTGATTATGATGATAGCGTTCAGAAGAAGGATGAAAGCTCCACGACCAAACCATCCAGTTAAGAGAACAAATTTCCATCAAAATCATCCACCTGAGCTACAAATCTCCGCCATCTCAGGATCAAACTGTATGTTAGTTAAATGCATAACCCATGTGAATAACAATACTTCATTTTAAAAGTTCACCATTTTAACGCAGTCTAACCCCAAAAGTATGAATGTACATCACAATTTATTCAATTATTACACTTATCATTAGCGTTTAATGTATGTTTTACTCTCAATTTATTTATGAATCACTATATTCACTGCATATTCTTGTACTAATTATAGTGAATTTACATTTTAGATACAGGATAATGTGTTAATAAACAAGTATCATTGATTTCGATTGTGGTCGAAACTCAGATTTTGTGATTAGTTTACTTACTTACTTACTTACTTATGCCTGTTACCCCTAATGAAAAATAGGCCACCAACTACCATTCTCCAACAAACTCTGTACTCCGCCTTCCTTTATAGTTCTATCCAATTCTTGTTAGTTCTTCTCATGTCTGTCTCCATTTCTCGGAGTAATGTGTTATTCGTTAGTCTTACTCTTCTCCTTATTTGACATTGAGAATTTCAAGTGAGTGCTTCCTTTGTGATGCAGTTGAGTGCTTTACTCAATGTGTATCTTATCCACTTACAGCACATCTTCCTCATTCAGTCTTCCGTTGGAATCTGGTTTGTTTTCTCCCACAATAGGTTGTTACTGATAGTGTCTGGCCAATAGATCTGAAGTATTGTACATAGACAACTGTAAAAAAAAACACTAGTATCTTTTGGATTATGAGTTTCGTAGTTCTCCAAGTATCCACCCCATACGGTAGTACTCTCTTGATAATTGTATTGGAAATTGTGACTTTGGTGTTGGTTGACAAGTGTTTTGTGTTCCAGATATTCTTCAATTGTAGTTATGCTTAAATTTAACAGATGACATGTTTACAATATACAATCAAACACACACACACACTATTATGTCAAAATATCAAAAACAAATGTTCTCTTGGGTTTCACTATACATTATTTATTCATTAATAATAATAACATTCAAATTTGTTAGAATGACATATTCTTCACAATTGTTGATGTCTACTAATAATCCCTATTTAAGTAGCATATTTAAGTGAAAGGAATAATCCAGTGTTTTGACAAAACAAACAAAATATGTTTATTTTTCATAAACTACTAATTACTGTCAAATTAAAATGAAAAACAAACAATAACATAACAAATTACAACCATTCAATTAAGTATCATTAACATCACCATTCGTTGTGTATCTTTCCGAATGGTTAAATATCAATAATAATAGGGGGATAGTTGATAGATTATAAGTAGTATGTTTTGAGTAACGAACCAGTTAATTAAGAGATGAACAAAGATATTATGAATACATAATTTGTCTTGATGAGAAAGGTATATCAGAAGGGGTTTTGTGAAGACTGTAGTAATTTCAATAGGTGAAATCATGAGTCAATTGAAGCTAGACTACCATGGGAAACCTGGAAGCACTGGATGGCCGTTTCGTATTACTGTGATAATCCTTAGCAGTGCGCATCAACAATCTTGCCCTCGTGTGCTTCAAGGATTTGTACGGTGGTCTAGATTCAATTGACTCATGATCACAACTATTAAAATTACTATAATATCCACAGAAACCCACTCTGATATTAATCAACATTTGCTCACTAGTGACTGAATTCAAGATGCATTTTTTGTAGTTCTAATGGGGAGCAGTGACCAATGGATTTCAGTCGAGTCTATTGTGAGATATCAGCTCACTGAAGACATTGGTGGATGTTTCTCTCAATTTCGTGGATTGGTTGAAGTTAGACATTAACACCGTTGAATGTCAATCGGCTAAATGGTCTAATGGTTAAGAGCTCGCGCGCGAGACTGATAGGTCGTGAGTTCAAATCCTGCGAATCGGATCGCGGATGTGCACTGTTGAGGAGTCCCATGCTAGGACGAAACGGCCGTCCAGTGCCTCCAGGTTTTCTATAGTGGTCTAGATTCAACTGACTCATGATTTGAACTATTGAAAAAGGTATAGACAGCTAGTAGTTGTGTAAATAAATTATATAATGGTTAGTAGTGAAATTGATAATTAATATTTGTGTATATGTCAATACTACTTATTCTTATTAGTAATAGTTAGGTTAGAAGTTTCAATGGATACGATAATGATGTGTAGTTTTCTATGCATTTTGATATTTAATCGTTGATACGAACTATAAATTGTGTAATCTATATAATTTTGATTTTGTTAGAAGTTTATCCTTTAATTAACATGAACATTTACATAAAATTGATTTATTGTACTCATTTTATTATCAAATCATTACAATGAATAGATTAACAACTCTATAGTCATTTTACATTTCATTGTTTATAATGATATTCAGACAGTAATTCTGTATAGTTTAATAGTTGAATTCATGAGTTAATTGAATGTAGACCTCCATGAGAAATCTAAAATCACTGAACAGCCGTTTCGTCCTAGTATAGGACTCCTCACCAATGTGCATCCATAATCCCAGCCTCAAGGAATTCAAACCTAGGACTTATCGATCTCATGCACGGACGCTTAACCTATAGACTACTACTAGTATTTATGTCTAACTTCAACCAATCCACGAAATTCGCGCCACTATCCACCATGATGATCTAGCTTGAATTAACTCATGAATCCAACTATTAAATTGCTAAAACCTTCACAAATCCCCCTCCCTTCTACATATAAATATTTGATCCTAAATACAAACACAATAATAACGATGTAATTAAATTTATTTATTTATTTCAATTAAACTCCTTATCTGATTGGTCATTTCATCTCCACTTGTGATTGGTTAATTATCACATAAATGTTTATTATTATTATTATTATATAATGAAAATCCTGGAAACAAGTCCCTTATTATAATTTGATCATTCAATTGTGTATTTGTCATGGAGATTATTTATCAACTATTCAATAAAGACATCTTATATAAATTTAACCTTTATTATGTAATCATTAATCTATTGAGTATCCAATATATTTTATCCTATCAACAATTGTATCCAACTGATTTTCAATCATTAAATTTAGGTTCATGTATTAAAAATGATGGTGATCTATTTTGTCAAATGTATAGACGTAATAGTTTTTGTTCAATTCAACATGATGAATGTTTTTGTTTACCAGGATATGTATCAATTTATGAAATGAATGATAGTTGGTATACATGTAAACCATGTAAGTGAATTGTAGTTTGATTGATTTTGATTAGGTTTATGTAATTATCTAGAAAAAAACCCAGTATAATGTCGTTCCTTTTTATAAGGGTTTCAATAGTTGAGATCATAGGTGAATTGAAGTCAAACCACCATGGAAAACCTAGAAGTACCGGATGGCCGTTTCGTCCTATTGTGGGACTACTCAGTAGTGCACATTCACGATCCGGCCTCGTGGAATTTGAAACCAGGACATATCAGTCTCGCGCGCGAGCGCTTAATCATTATACCACTGAGCCGGTCGGCATCCAACACTGTTAATGTCTAAATTCAACTAATCAACAAAATTGAGTGACACATCCACTAATGTCTTCAGTGAGTTACTGACTGGCAACAGACCCGGTTGCACTCACTTGGTCACTGATTCTCACTAGAACTCCAGTAAATACCTATCGAAGCAAGTCACTAGTGAGCATATGTCGATCATTATCAGAAGTTGTATTGTGGATATTATAGTAATTTTAATAGTTGTGATCATCAGTCAATTGAATCTAGACGTGGATGCACATTACTGAGGAGTACTATACTAGGTTGAAACGGCCGTTCAGTACTTCAACGTTTTCCATGGTGGTCTAGCTTCAATTAACTCATGATCTTAACCATTGAAATAATAAAGTGGCCAGTCAGTAGTCAGCCTATGTTGATTAGTGTCAGAAGGGGTTTAGTGAAGATTGTTTATCATACTTATCAATCAATATCTTCCGACATAAATGAGCATCCTGAGAAAGTGCCTTGATACTTGCTAATGTTTATAGGGAGACTAGTGTAGGAACTTGGGATGTTCATCTTGAATCATCTACTGCTGCATTGTATATCGTGATTTGGAAGTTGAATGAGTAACGATTTAGTATCTGAAGCAAAGATCTCTGAATTTCACTGTTGGTGTGCAATTCCGTACAGATGTAATGAATATTTAGCCAATATATTTTAACAAAATAGAATATATGTCATAAGTGTTACTGTTAGTTGTTTACTATTACAAATCTATGTATCAATCGAGACAATTAGACAGTTGTCTAATACCCTTTACTTCAAATTAAGGGTAGGTGGTCTCTTTACAATGACGGCATACTTAAACTATCTCGGCTAATACTGAATATTGAATGAATAAAATTAGTATACATAAACACTTATTTCATTACTTCAATTAACAGACTGATAAATTACTGTTATACTATCTATTCGTTATACTTCACTTATGAACATCATATTACTTTATAAATTCACTTATCATCAGAAATTGAGAAAAGGCATACAGGAATGAAGCTTACTCAGAACTAGCGAGAAAAACTAAAGATTACAACGAATAAATATTTTCAGAATGAGGGTTTGTGAAAATCATGAAGCACTTCGTGGCCGTTTCGTCCTAGTACGGGACTCCTCAACAATGCGTATCCACGATCCTGCTTGGAACCTTCGGTTTCACGCGCGAACGCTTAACGCTTAGACCAATAAATATTTTACACTTTTAATTTTCCTACGAGTGATTAGTTTGATATATTCGACAGCATTTTTTAATGATGATAAATCAGAAGAACTTTCTGTTGATTACCTCTAAACAACTGACTGATAAATGCTAAACGATTCATAACATTATGTCTCTTCAATTATCATTACGACTAGCAAATGCCTCTATGCAATCCGAAAGAATATAGAGTTTATTTGATCGCCAGACTTTACTATCCTTCTCTTAACCGCTTGTGTTATCAATAAACAAATCCATGAAACTGGTTGAAGTTAGACATTAACAACGTTGGATACCAGCTCAGTGGTTTAGGGGCGAAGTGTTCGCATGCGAGACCGGATGTCCTGGGTTCGCTTCCTGCGAGTGGGATCGTGGATGTGCACTGCTGAAGAGTCCCATACTAGGACGAAACGGCCACGAAGTGCTTCCAGGTTTTCCATGGTGGTCTAGCTTTAATCGCCTCATAAATTCAAGTATCAAAGAAATCATAATATATAAAATGATCATTTGTCTTGCCCAAAATATTTACATCTGAATGATTTAAATCTTCAATAAACAAATTCGTTATAATTAACAATTATGACTTTACGTTTGCAAAGTGTATTCAATCTAACAATTGACCTCATTATTTATTAAATATTTTCCTAAAAAAAATTGGTAAACAAAATGTTTACCTTGGATACCAAGGTGTATATTGAAAAATTTATTCAATTGTGTTTTATTGTATACCCCAAAACGTCTATATTGCTACCACTCTACAGTTACTGATTTTCGGATATATAGAAATGTAGTGATGCAAATTTTATATTAAGTAGAAATCAAAGATCATTCATTGACCTAAAAGTACGTTAAATGTCCATGTAAAAAGATTAAACTTTTAATGTTTGATCTATTATCGTTATCGAATGTTCAGATATATTGATTAACAAAGGTTCTGATTGGTACGAAATATTCTAACGAGAACGTTTAACCTCTAGACCGCTGAGCCGTTGTTCGACGGTGTTAATGTCTTACTTCAACCAATTCACGAATCGGTCTCGTGCGCGAGATCGATTGGTCCTGGGTTCGAATCCCGCGAATGGGACCATGGATGCGCTCTGCTAAGGGGTCACATGGTAGGATGAAACGACCTTCTAGTTTTTCAAGGTTTTCCATGGTGGTCTAGCTTCACTTAACTCACGAATTCAACTATTAACTTACTAAAGTCTTCACAAAACCCTCTTCTGATAGAACTGGAATCGTTTGTCCATGGAAACTTTGAAATAAAACAGCATTCATAATATCACATAAAATTAATTACTTATCAATGTTATTAGTTATTAATATTAAGATACGACGAAGATGTACCTAGATATCTCATGAAACATAAATAATATTAACCGATCAGTACTTTCGAATAAATTTGAAAATCCGCTTCATTTGAATTGGCGGTTAATAGATTAAATGAAACCAACGGGAGCCCCTCTGGGGTTACCGATGGTCCCAAGCTCCGATGAAGGAGAAGGATTGGGTATGGAGTTACCGACTCCATCCCGTAGAAAACTAACTAGCCAAAAAAAAACACTAACCAGAAAAAATTTAATAGATTAAATATTCAGGTTCTTACTAATTCTAACATCATTTTCGAAATTTTGGAGGTATTTCAAGTATTTCATGTTGATGAGTGTCAACCAGCGAAAACGGTAGGTTTATAACTTTCTATCTGTCACCTCCAAACAGTCATACAGTATGTGATGATGAGTCATTTACACTGATCACCACATTGTAACCTGATTGATATTATCCAATTTTAACTAACTACTATATGCATTGTGAGGCTGATTTTTAGTATAAATCAAGGATTACCATGTAGAAATCTTCAGCAAAACGTACACAAATAACCTCATATTGTAATGCATTTGTCATTTATCGCGAAATGACATCAGCTAAAATACCAACACGCTATTTAGCTAAATAGATAAAGAATTTCTCACCGAAATCCAAGACCTGTTACCATAAATCTGATTGTTTCATCCAAAAATTATAGTCTCGACGGCTTTTATTGTGTCAAAGAATAAACCCAAGTAAAGATAAACTAATCATAGATTTCTCGGTATGTTGCTTTGTGCTTTTCATCAATACTTGGATGTTTTTATTTATTTAAACACATGAACATTGGTACAAGGAAGCACCGAATAGATATGCACCACATAAATCATTCGATTTATGGGAGGGCTGTTATACTGTTCAGGTGCCCAAACTGAGACAGATGTTTTTCTTAGGGGGTAACACCCAGAGCATTCGACCTACAAGTCTAATCCACAAGGCAGTGGAGCAACGTATGGAGATGCAATCCCATCAAAGCCGATGATAAACAATTAGTTCATACGCCATTTATTCCCTCAAAATACTGTAACCCATGTACACCAATGGTTTAGAATCAGGGTTTTCCAACTCCCCTAGGTGGATTTTTCGTGTCCACCAACGCGGTTAAAGCGTCGAATATTCACTTTTCGTCCTCTCAATTTCGTAAACAGCACCCCCGCTAGGAGAAGGTAATGAGTAGGACTTCCCTGGCAGAGGCTATATACGCGTGGTTATGTGAGAGCATTTGGAGAGGGAGAATTAACTACCCCACTCCCAGCCATTTGAGGGCATGTATACTAGATAATCTACTGAGAAAAAATAACCATTTAAAACAAATATCATATCATGTTTATGCAATTGAAAACAAAAAGAAGAAATATACAACTTTTATTCAAAAGAGATTTACAATCCAAACTGATCTATTCATAATATAATATGGAAAAAAGAAAAAAACTAGGCCTGGAGCCCCGCTGAAGCTACCGCCAATCCCAAGCTCAGATAAAGGAGAAGGGTTAAATGTAAGATTAGCGACCTCCATCCCGTAAAATACGAATTCTCTAACCAGAAAAAAATTGATTCAAAAAAGAAAACTAGTCGGATAAATCCTGAATTCAGTTTATTAAATAGCACTATAAATTTTAAACAAAAAATTCTATTTAAGTAGTATCCAATGTTTTATAAGAATCGTAATTGTGCAATTGTACAATAAATGACATTTTTGACATTTTCTTTTAAATCTACAAGACAATAAAATGAATATTGATAACAATTAGCACACATTTATTGATTATAGTGTAGTTGTGAAATTGTCAAAAATTTAGAATAAAACATGATCTATTCATTACTTGGTCTTAGTTTGTTTTCTCTTAGGTTTTAATAATTAAACTGTAATAATATGTTGTTATGCTACTGATATCGATAGATATAAGTAGTATATATATCATCAATCGAAAATGAAATAACTGGAGGTAGAAGGTTAGATTGAAGAAAAGAGAATGAGAATAGAGAGTGATTGGTGTGCAATAGAAGAATCAGTCAAGTTTGAGACGATGGATTGATAGTTTTTAATTGAAGGATGGACTGTATGGTTTTCAGATTCTACTAGGATGTTCTGTAATTCTGTATTTGAATATATTCGATTATCCCCACTG